CAACTTAAAACTTATAATTTATTTCTTGTTAACTAAATAAACTCTAATAAACAGCGTGTTAAGTTGATTGGATTTAAATCATAGCTATTGCCTCCCTGACTTCAAATCATAGTTAACTTATTCGACGGAAAGAGTAACGTTAACAACGTTTACATAACTAAAATTTAATCAATACATAGTAATATATAGTTCTTCACTTCACTTAGGATAATTAATTTTGCTTAATATAAAATTGATTAAAAAATATTTTTCAGTTTTATTTTTATAAAAAAATTTTTGAATTAAATCAAAAATATAAAAAAATATTATTTTTATAATAATCATAAAATAAATATAAATAATAGTTTAAAGATTTGTAATAAAAATAATTCAAATATATATTATTTAGAAAAATTATTCAAATAAAAAAAAAAACTATAAAATTTAATTTTTATAAAAAATAGAAAATTAAAAAGGTTTTTATAATATTAAATCAAAATGTAAAATATAATTATTGTATCAAAATTTAAATATTTAGATAGTAAAAAAAGATATAATATTTTATATAATATACTTTTCATCATAAATCTTTTTAAAATAAAATAATACCTATGTTATTTTTAATATAAAATTTTATATAAAAGATTAAAAAAGATGATAATATTAATAATAATTTATTAAATAATGAAATATTAAAAATAAAAATAAAAAAGTAGTAACAATAATAAAAAAAATATTAGTAGTCTTTAAATTACTTTAAACTTAGTAAATTATAAATTATTAAATAAAATATATTTTAAAATATATATCTTTAATCTTAAAATTTTAGCTCTCATTTAATTTTCTTTAGAGCAGAATTTTTTTTTACTTAAATATAAAGAAAAAAATGAACAACATATCAATGCAAAAAACTAAGCATTAATATATTAGTTTTTGAAAAATTAATATATCTTTTTTTATTATTTTAAATTAATTACAATAAAACATATACAATATAAAAAAAGATTAATATTTGATTTTATCATTTTATGTAAATGAAGATTTATTATGATTTATTATTATTATTTTAGTTTTTATATTAAGATATCTTTTTAATATTATCATAAAATTTTCTAAAATCTATTGTTTATTACTTTTTAATAGTTTAAATAAGTTTTAACAATTTCTAATATATTAGAATAACAAAAAATTATATTATTATCTTAATTATAAAAAGTTATTTTGTAAATCTAATTTTTTTTTTAAGATATCTATTAATATTTATTGATCTATAATTTATTATTTTAATTATATTATTAAATATATTTATTTAATTTTAAAAAAAAAAAAAATTTAAAAGATTTTTTTTATTAGATAAACAATTACAATCTTAAAAATATTATATCTAATATTCTAAATAAATTATAATGATTTATCAACAACTATTTATTTTTTTTTTTAATGTTTTTTATTGTTTATATAATCAAATTTAAGTACTTAATTATTTTGATTATTTAATAAGCAACATTTATTTATTACAAATTTATAAAACTTCTCTTATAATTGCAAATACATTAATTTTCATTGTATCTATTTAAGCTAGCTAAAGCTAGGAATTGATCTTTGATATTTGAAAATGTCACATATAACTGATGATTATTTTTTATAATATTTTTCGTAATATATTCATCAATAACATCATCAGGAGTAATCCAAATAAAATAAACATCAGATTCATTTATATTACATAATGTTACCTATTTGTTTCTTAAAGTGTTAATTCTTTTTGTTAAAAAATTTTTTATGCTATTAACATATTTCGCAAACTCACTAATAGTGATTTGAAATGCAAATAACTTCTTATTCTGAGGATTCCAGATAAGACAATTTACACAAGGATAATTTGGAGAAATTGGAATAAAGAAAGTTTTTTGATTTGTGTTGAAATTTTTCATGTGAATAGGAACATCATTATTAGTAAATATGATAACATTGTCAAATTCAATTCTTTCTTTAATTTGAAAGGGCTTATTCCTTGAAACTTTTCTAAATTAAACAACAATAAAATTGTCATCTTATATCATTCAATAATATAATATGTTGACATGAGGCATGATTTCTATTTGTATTAGTTTAACATACCGACACTTAAATTCAAAAAATTTTATTATTTCCATTCCTGTTATAATGTATAATTTTGCAATCCTTCATTTAGTATCATTAGAGTATGCTGTACTTCGGAGAACTATTGATGCAATCACTTGAATGCTACTAATGATTCCTTTATTATGAATATGGATGATGGCTAGTCTGGCAAGTGGATGGATAGCAATAATTGTATTGACCTTAACCTCTTTGTTCTTATTTTGGCCTTCCCAAACCAAAATAGTATTTTTATGCATCAATTGTCGATCCATTCCATAATTCCATTTCAGGAGGAGCAGTTTGAAGAATCATTGAAGTAACACATTGAGAAAGATTTTTATTCCTTCCAATTGATAAACTTTCTATATAAGATTGATGACTTAATCCAATAATGCTTTTCAATTTACCAAATAATTTTAGAACTTCTCTGACAAGTTATTGCCTGGTATCTGATACTATATATCTAACTCCAAAGGATAGGCGACTGTCCAAAATTTGATAACTTCCAATTGCGACTTAGTTTTTAGATTCCCATCAATGTCATAGTTATATAATTTGCACTATTCATTGAATTCTTTATCGTTATAACCACCAAATAAATATAACTACTTCTATAGTTTAAATTCTTTTGGAAATACCTCATTATTAGCAGATGCTAACACAATAATAAGTCTGATATCATTTAGACTTGCAGGAAGACTCTTCACCAAACTAAAGGGAAATATATTAAGAATATTGTACTTATATAAAGCATTATGTTGATCAAAGATCTAAATCTAATATACACCTTTCTGTTTGACAAAATTTTCTAATTAATCAAGAAATATTATAAAGTGATCCCCCTCAGAGAAAATTGGATATTTATTTACTATAATATTATTCTTAAAATTTGTGAAAAAATTACCTTATAGATTCAGTACTTCTAAAATTAGAACTTCTAGCTTCCATTACAAAATTCGCCCATTCAACTATAGTCTTTATTGATAGCTTATCTATGTTGAAAGTACATAACAACTCCTTTAATAAATATTCATATAGTTGTTTCTTATGGGTGTTTCATTACACTTCACAACTATTGATATATATTACTCGACATAACTCAGGTTGCAGACGGAGTAGTGAAATAATATAATATAAGGTATATGACTTTCCTAAACCAGAAGGTCTATGTATACTCCCTTCCAAAAAATATCTGACCACCCATCGATCATTGCAAATTCTAACATATTAAAATTTGAATTACGCCACAACTAATACATATAAATAAAAAATTTTTTTTTTCTCATGTAGGTGCAGTTACAAATAGTTTGAAAATAAAAAAATCTTTTTTAAAAAATATGTCTAAAAGGAGTCAACTTTCAGATTTTGAGCAAGGAGAGATTATTGGACTTTGAAAAAGAGGTCATAGTGAAAGAAATATTGAATCCATTCTCTAACATCCTAAGTTAACTATTCATAATATAATAATCAGTTACAAAAATAAAAACCAAATTACAGCTATTTCACAATCAGGCAGGACACTAAAATTAACAGAAAGAGATGTTAAATATCTTATAAAAATCATTAAAGAAGACCGTCAACAGTCTTTAAATGAAATAACAGAAAAATTTAAAGATTTATCAATAAATCCAGTATTTCAGAATACTGTAAGAAGTGTTTTACATTCTGAGAGTTTTTTGATCGAGCAGGTAAGAGAAAACTATTAGTTTCTGAAGTAAATCGTAAAAAAGATTAGAATAGTGTTGCGAAAGAAGAAATTGAGATTCTGAGTGGAATTCAATTATATGGAGTGATGAATCCCATTTTTTATTATTCTAAAATAATGCTCATCATTAGGTTTAGCATAGGCCACATGAAAAATTTGATATAAATTGCTTAATTCTAACAGTAAAATTAGGAAATCAAGGTGTTATGGTATGGGGATGTTTTGCGAAAGATAGACTTGGTCTTTTAATTCAAGTTTTTGGTAGAATTACAGGTTCTGTATATATTAATATGTTAAAAAATACTTTTTTACCATTTTATAACAGTTTTGAAAATAATTTACAATATATTTTTTAAGATGACAATACTCTAGTTCATAGAGCAAGTGCAGTTAATCAATGGAAAGAAAGTAATTCAGTATTAAGTCTTCCATGGCCTGCACAAAGCCCGGATCTTAATCTAATTGAACATCTATAGAATATTTTAGAAAGAAAAGTTCGGGTACACAAACCTCATCCAAAAAATATTAGGGAATTAATGATAGTTTTAGAAGAGGAATGGAATCAAATTAAACCTGAAATTTTAGTAAATTTAGTTGAAAGTATGCTATGAAGGATTCAAGCTATAATAGATAGTCATGGCAATCCAACTAGATACTAATAATATAAATAAAAAATATGAGTTTTTCTGCATTATATATATAAATTTTGTAAAAATTTTATTAATAAATTGTTAAGTAATAAATGTCAAAATCAGCTATAATTTCAAATGATCGGTAAATGATCGGCAAGTAGTCAGATATTTTTTGGAGGTGAGTGTACAAGCATTTGATCACTGGTCTATCGATATCAAACAAGATGCTTAGTTTACTGCATTATCCTTTGATGCTGTTTTCGAAACGTTAAATTCAAAACTGAAGTGGATCAAAATTTTTTCTGATAATGGTAGTCATTATCACAATTCAGAATTAATGACTATTATTGTAAATTGGAATCAATAGTATAGAACTGATATTTGTGGATGGCATTTTTTTGAATCTGGGAAAGCAAAATTTAGTGTTGATTTGCATCATGTGCAAGTAAGTTATGGTTTCATTTGATAAAATATTGATTTTATTTACAAAATATTATATAATAGTAAATTATCAATATCAATTTCCTTTTAGATAGCTCATTCCATTCTATTAAAAGATACGTAAGAGTCAGGTATAATTTAGATAATGGTGAAAAAATAGAAAACGTAATAAAGAATCTTAGCAGAACTTCTATTACTCATCTAGAACCAAAATGAAACTATATCTGGCATTACCAAATTATCATATTTTAAATGGCCAATTGAAAGTTCATTATCAAATGGGTTGATTTCTAAGAAAATCAGGTTTCGGGAATTTTTTAGCAAAATTGAGATTTTTATTGCATTTTAGTTTTTGATGTTATTAGATTAAAATGTATTAAGCTTTAAATTTTAGTCAAAAATTTCTCAAAACCTGATTTTCCTAGAAATACTTCCAAATATATTCAAGCTTAAACTTATCACATATAAGTGAATGGTTACGTTACTCTTCAACTGACATCTCAAAATTAATTAATAAATCTTTACACAAGCTAACTTCTAATATTTCTACATATATTAAACTAAATTTGCCATAGAATTTTTCTATAGTTCAGATTAAAGGTATGTTATAGATGAAAAATATATTTATTATATTTATGTTTATTCAAAGATAATAAAAAATAATTATTTTTTTTTTTTTATAAATAAAACAAATAAAAGCACGTTAGAAATTAGAAATAATACCCAAATCTATTCTCCCTATAAAAAATAAATATCCAAAAAATATCATCAAAATATCCTGTATTTATTCAGGTATATCAGAGAATGTCTGGAAAATAATTATTATTTGTCCTAAAAAATGATCAAGCTTGCTGTTCATCTGAAATATATACAGAAAAAAATTTAATCTTTTTTTCTAATACAGAATATAGTGTTTCGCAAAATCAGATTGGATCAGATTTTATCCAAATCCGATCCGATCTGATTTTCATTTTTCAGGATCTGAATCCGATCCGAATCTAATGGATCTGTTGAAATCCAGATCCAATCCGAATCTGACAGATTGAATCTTAAATCCAGATCTGACAGATCAGTTTAAGTCCAAATCCGATCTGATCTGAATCTGAAAGTATTATTGAAAAAATGAATTTTCAGTTCTAAAAGAGATCTGAAAATGTTTTTTTCAATGAAAGGAACCTTTTCAGCTTTAAAAGAGTTCCGAAAAGTCATTTCTTTTCATTGAAAGGAACTTTTTTAGCTCTAAAAAAGTTCTGAAAAGTTGTTTCTTTTCAATGAAAGGAACTTTTCAGCTCTAAAAGAGTTTCGAAAATTCATTTCTTTTCAATAAAAGGAATTATTTAGTTCTAAAGAGTTTTGAAATGTCATTTCTTTTCAATGAAGGGAACTTTTCAGTTCTAAAAGAGTTCTGAAAATTCGTTTCTTTTCAATGAAAGGAAACAAATTTTTAGCTCAAAAGAAGTCCAAAAATTCGTCCCTTTTCATTGAAAGAAACCTTTTCTGCTCTAAAAGAGTTCTGAAAAGTTGTTCCTTTTCATTGAAAGGAACCTTTTCGACTCTAAAGAGTTCTGAAAAGTTGTTCCTTTTTATTGAAAGGAACTTTTTCGGCTCTAAAAGAGTTCTGAAAAGTCGTTCCTTTTCATTAAAAGGAACCTATTCGGCTCTAAAAGAGTTCTGAAAATTCGTTCTTTTTCAATGAAGGGAATTTTTTGGTTCTATAAGAGTTCTGAAAATTCGTTTCTTTTCAATGAAAGGAACCTTTTCAGCTCTAAAAGAGTTCCAAAAAGTCGTTCCTTTTCATTGAAAGGAACCTTTTCAGTTCTAAAAGAATTCCGAAAAGTTGTTCCTTTTCAATGAAAGGGACTTTTCAGCTCTAAAAGAGTTCTGAAAATTCGTTTCTTTTCAATGAAAGGAACTTTTCGTTTCTAAAAGAGTTCTGAAAAGTCATTCCTTTTCAATGAAAAGAAACAAATTTTTGGCTCAAAAGAAGTCTAAAAATTCATCCCTTTTCATTGAAAGAAACCTTTTCGACTCTAAAAGAGTTCTGAAAAATCATTCCTTTTCATTGAAAAGAACCTTTTTGGCTCTAAAGAGTTCTGAAAAGTCATTCCTTTTCATTGAAAAGAACCTTTTCAGCTCTAAAAAAGTTCCGAAAAGTCGTTTCTTTTTATTGAAAGGAACCTTTTCGACTCTAAAGAGTTCTAAAAAGTCGTTCCTTTTTATTGAAAGGAACCTTTTCGGCTCTAAAAAAGTTCCAAAAAGTCGTTTCTTTACATTAAAAGGAACCTTTTCAGCTCTAAAGAGTTCCGAAAAGTTGTTTCTTTTCAATGAAAGGAATTTTTCAGCTCTAAAAGAGTTCCGAAAATTTGTTTTTTTTCAATGAAAGAAACTTTTCGACTCTAAAAGCATTCTGAATATTTGTTCCTTTTCAATGAAAGAACTTTTCAGTTCTAAAAGAGTTCCAAAAATTTGTTTCTTTTCAATGAAAGGAAATAAATTTTTAGCTCAAAAAAAGTCTGAAAATTCGTCCCTTTTCATTGAAAAGGAACTTTTCGGCTTTAATTCAGATCTGACAGATCAGATTTGAATCCAATCTGAATTTGACAGATCAGATCTGAATCCAAATCCGAATCTGACAGATCCGATCCGAATCCAATCCGTCAAATTCAGATTAGATTCGGATCGATCTGAATTCATGCAGAATACTAATAGAATATGTTCAGAATTTGTATTAAAATTATTTGTCTATTTTTTTAATACAGAAAATATCCAGATTATATATTAAAATTTGTCTAGAATATGTATTCCCTATAAAAAAAAAATGTCTAGAAAATGTTAATGAAAATGTCTAGAATTTATTCAGAATATATATATTTTTTTTTAATATAAAAAATGTTCAGACTGATTTTAATCTAGTCCTTTTTAATCTTAGTTAATATATATTTTTATTTTACATTACATAAATAAATGATCTATAATTATATTATTTGTGTATTTTCTTTTTTTTTTTTTTTTTTTTAATAAAAAAAACTTTTA